CGCACGCACGCACGCACGCACGCACGCACGCACGCACGCACGCACACACACACACACACACGTGCGCGCCTGCTAATGAGGCTAATGAGGTGTTGTTACTCAGTCTGAGGAGTCTGAGGTCAAACATGTTATTTTCTGTTTCTTTATTATAATAATTATTATTTTTATTTTAACGGTCCTGGCAGATGCTCCAGATGTTCTCGGGCTCTGTGGCTCCACCAATCAAAACCTCTCTCCTTTCCAAAAGCGCCAGCGTAGATTTTCACACCACCTGCATTTGACAAAGTCCAGCGTCTCTTATATAACCTGTGTGTGTGTGTGTGTGTGTGTGTGTGTGTGTGTGTGTGTGTGTGTGTGTGTGTGTGTGTGTGTTTTTCAGTAAGGAAACAAAGATGCTTTTGTCTGCCCTGAGGCCTGAGACACACACAGACGTGAACACACACACACAAGACTCCCTGACCCCCCCTAACTAACCCTGACTTCCCCCCTCCTCCCCCTCCTCCCCCCTCCTCCCCCCCCCCCTCTCGATCTGGAAAGTGTTTGCAGATGTCGCCTGCTCGGGCGTCGTGCCACTGTGTCAGCTCGGATGGTTTCAGGTTTGGACGGCGGAGTGGAGAAGAGGAGGCTGATTTTCCACGCCAGCTTACATGAAGACAAGGTCTGTGAGGCGTGGCGAGGAGAATGATCCTCCTCCTCCCCCCTCTCCTCCTCCCTCTCCTCCTCCTCCTCCCTCTCCTCCTCCTCCCTCTCCTCCTCCCCCCCTCTCCCCCCTCTCCTCCTCCCTCTCCTCCTCCCTCTCCTCTCCTCCTCTTCCCTCTCCCCCTCCTCCTAGTCCTCCTCTCCTCCTCCCTCTCCTCTCCTCCTCCCTCTCCTCCTCCTCCTCCTCCTCTTCCCTCTCCCCCTCCTCCTAGTCCTCCTCCTCCTCCCTCTCCTCTTCCTCCTCCCTCTCCTCCTCCTCTTCCACCGTTCTGAAGGAAATCCCCCAAAAGCCCAGAGAGATTTATGAAGCTGCTCATTTTACAGCTCTGTGAGGCTGCAGGTCCCTGAACACAACCATCGAAATGAAAACTACACCGACCTCGACCAATTAGTGTTCACCTCTGTCTGAGAGCATTCTAAGGCTGACATCACACACACACCTGTATACACACCTGACACAAACAAACACCTGATGGTAGGAGAGTTTTTAGTTCAAAGATGCTGAAACTGAGGAAGCAGAAAGCAATGTGTGTGTGTGTGTGTGTGTGTGTGTGTGTGTGTGTGGTGTGATGTGAGGAGGAGGAGGTGACAGACTGATAGACTCCTGCACAATGTCTAAGTTGCACAAAACATTTGTAAAGTAGGAGGAGCTTATCCTATCTAGCTCCGCCCACTTTCTTATTGTAGTTTAGCCTTTGCTCAAATCAGACCTTCTGACAACTTTCCTCATTCCTCAAACTCTGTACCTCTCCGTCAGCACACAGAGGGGGAGGGGCTCTGCTGTCCAGGTGAGCCTGACAGATGAACCCCCCCCTACACACACACACACACACACACACACACACACACACACACACACACACACACACACACACACACACACACACACACACACACACACACACACACACACACACACACACACACACACACACACACACACACACACACACACACACACACACACACACACACACACCTTTAGTTACACAGCAGTAAGTCAAACATTCCTCCTTCAGCCGACGATGGAAATCTAAATATTTCCTCTTTTCATCGTCTAAATTCAGCCTGACGACAAATGACATCTGTCCACAAGAAGAGGCCTCTCTCACACACACACACACACACACACACACACACACACACACACACACACACACACACACACACACACACACACACACACACACACACACACACACACACACACACACACACACACACACACACACACACACACACACACACACACACACACACACAGATTAAAGAGGAATACTACAGGAGCGCTAAGGGGACAAACATCTGTATATTTTATTTCACTACGTTTTCTTGAAATGAACTAAAACAATCGACATAACAAAGATTACATAACAGTGATGAGGCCTGACCTCTGCCTCACACCTGAAATCCTCCCCATGTTCAAAACTTTATTTACACACCAGCCTGCTGTCAACAGGTCGTCATGGTGACGAGTTTAACTGACAGACGGAGAATCCCCCAAAAACAACTCGAGTCACATCCGTCCACGGTCAACTGTTTTCCCTGAAGGCCTCACAAAAGAAGATCAGACCGCTCCTGCAATCCTAAAAATCAACATTTAATCAGGTGTGAAGGCAGACGCTTACCCAGCATGCATCTCTCTGAGGTGAAGAAAGTCACAGAACAATGCAACAAGCTCAGATATAAAGTAGGGACGTGTCTGAACCAATCAGAGGTCACCTTTTCTCTCTGTAAGACAATAACTACAAAATAAAAGACAGTAAATGCACTTTGGTGGTTTTCTCATGGCTCACAAGAAGGACGGTTTATTCTGTGTTTAGATTAGACAGTTAATTCCTTTATTGTTCAATTATCTCTGGTTAGACTGCAGCGCTGGCAAACGTTAAAAAAAGGGGCGTGTAATTCTGACCATCTGTTGCTCGACAACAGGAATCACAGAGTGGACAGAAGGCAGAGAAGAAGAACAAGACTGGGAATGTTTTATAAACGAGTCAAACATGAATCAAACAAAGACTGCTATCTTTACCCGTCCTGTCAGATACTATTACATCATCAAACACAATGGTCAATCACATCCTGTTACAGATACAAGAGCACTTAATCAGCATTAAAAAAATCACATTAAGCTGCTTGAAATCCTATTTATCAAATTTATCTTCATCAAGACAAGTTAACATTCAATCCTGTCTGCACGCCAGATAAGTCCACCCTTACACTATGTTATTACAGGAAACCCTCCTATAATATCTCTTGTTATGCAGATGATACTCAGTTATATTTATCAGTTCATTCAGTCTGTTATATAAACAGGAAACCCTCCTATAATATCTCTTGTTATGCAGATGATACTCAGTTATATTTATCAGTTCATTCAGTCTGTTATATAAACAGGAAACCCTCCTATAATATCTCTTGTTATGCAGATGATACTCAGTTATATTTATCAGTTCATTCAGTCTGTTATATAAACAGGAAACCCTCCTATAATATCTCTTGTTATGCAGATGATACTCAGTTATATTTATCAGTTCATTCAGTCTGTTATATAAACAGGAAACCCTCCTTTAATATCTCTTGCTACGGCAGATGATACTCAGTGATATCCATCACAGATGAAACCAATCAGATCACTGGGAAAGTCAGGATGATAGTGTAAAAAATAATGTTATTTTATTTTAGAAAAATGGGACTGTCACTCACACATCATCAGTTCTTGTTATTGTCTCGTTGGTGAAATTAAACATAAAAAACAAAAAAACACAACAATAAAGGAAGAGAGAGCCCTGGCCAGCACACAAACATATAGAACAGAATAGAATAGAATAGAAATCTATGAATACATCAATCATTTGATTTGACCATTATTGACAGACGGGCATGTTTTAGGGAGAGAGACGTCTGATGATGTTATAACCAGGGGGGAGGGGTCTAAAAAACAGAATAAAAACAGCATCTAAACATAGAACAACAAATATCAGCTGTCTGTCTACTGGAATATTAATCTACAATCAGGATGGTTGAGTTTAAAATATTCAAGTTAAAGAGACGAAGGAATAAAAATAGTGTTTTTTTATTGGCTGTAAATAAAGTTTGATTTTGGGTTCTGATTCATCCGTTACATGGCTTCTTGGTCTGAACCAGGTTAGCATGAGGGTTACAATCTGGAGATCAAAGAGATAAGGTCATACTTGTGGTAAGGACTAACATTAACAACATAATATTTAGTGGAAACAAAACACTTCCCAAGAATCTTCCCAGATGATCTGTCAATCATGAAACAGACAACATGACGCCTCTGTGTTGGGTAGCACCAAACATTCGTACGAATCTACCTCAGATGTCTTGTTAGTGGTCAGAAGAGTGAAAGTATTAATGATGTTGCTTTTCAGGTTTCTGTGGCTAACTGTTAGCATGTTAGCACCCATAGGAGTTCCTCATTTGATGACCACAGCTGATAGGTAGATCGTACGTATTTAACACTGACAGGCTACACATGTGCTAGCATGAGCTAACACTCCAGCTCTGACTGATAAATGTAAACATTAATGTGAAGGAGGCGGAGCCCTGCATGTCTGTCAGCTGCTGATTGATGGATATAATCTCTGAGTTTCTACACGTGTCCCAAAGAAGCTAACAAAGCGATGAAGGCACAGTGAGGAGGAGCGCTGTCCGCTGTGAGTGGCCCCGGAAACAACAACGAGTAGGAAAATGTAGAATGGAAAAATATGAACCAACAACAGAGATCCCTCACAGGATCGTCCAGAGACACATCATCAGCAACAACCCTTCAGCAGAGAGGAGTTTCATACCACAGAGGAGGTCAAAGGTCAGACAGAGGTACTCAGCAGTGAGTAAGTGTTTACAGGTGGAAATCACAGGTAAAGGGAAGAGGTGGAGGCAGTGCAGAGGTCAGAGTTCAGCGTGAAAACAGGCTCAAAGTGTCCAAAGAAAAGAAACTCCCAAACGTCCTACAGTGTCGTCACCTTCACCTCCAGCCGAGTGGATCCGGAGTGTTGAGGCCTCCTCCTCCTCCAGGGGTCAAAGGTGAAGGCAGGATTCTGTAGACACACAGGTGAGGGTCAGAAGCATCATCACAGCACACCTTCAGTCAGACAACACAGCTCCCAGAGCATCATGGGAGAAATGTGGTTGATGATTTTTAAAAGCTTCAGAGTCCATATCAACATCTGCTGAGGCTCATGGGATGTGTAGTGTGCTGAGAGTTTAACATGTGGAATAAATCAACAAAAATGGAACCTGACACTCGTACCTGGAGCTGGGCGACTTGGGGGGGGGGGGGCTGTTTATGTGGTCGAGCTTCCTCTCCTCTCCAGGAATCTGCTCCACAAAACACAGAACATCACATTAGTGTGGGGGCTTTTGGCTGGCGGAGAAGTGGTCCGGACTGAGGACGTCCAAACCTCAAAGAGAGGCAGAAACTAAACAAAGGATGATTCCAACATAAACAGACGAGTGGAAAGAGGACGGAGCCTTCCTGTTTGTGTTTCTGCACATTGTTTGTTTGGTGATCTGATGCTGCGCGGGCAGCCTCTCCAAACCTCGGAGCTATTTTTAACACTTCCCTTCAGTTTGTTTAAGACAGACTCTGGTCTGGTCTGACGGTCAGATCCACACGAGCCCTTCTGTTACACATCCACTTATCGATAACTTTCTAAGAGTCCACATCGTCTTCCTGGAAACAGACGAGTCGGCTTTAAAATAAAAACAGGCCGTCTGTCGGTCTCGGGTCTGAGGAGGTTTTTCTTTAACAGGTGGAGGTGTCGTCTGAGACCTGGCTCACCTCTCGGCTTTAGACCCCCCCACAGACAGTCGATAATCCCCACACAGCTCAGAGAGAGAGAGGGACAATCTGATTGGTTAGCGAGCAGGAAGTAAAGGCTCCTTGCTGTCTATGGAAGCCTGTCAGTGCCAGGATGAATGAAATCAGAGTGTTTCATGATTTCATGTTTGACACTTTGTATTTGTTTCATAATGTCAGCTAACTTTATTACTGAAGCATTTTAAATACTAATGAATCTAAAAGTCTTTCCTGATCCTCCTCCTTCTGACCAGCTTTCAAACACTCACACTTGAGTCTGTCGCACAAAGTGGGCAAAGTGCTGATCTCTGGAGCACAGCTCAATGATCCTCAGACGCTCCTGGATCTCCTGCAGAGAAAACAAAAACATGTTTATGTCACTCCGGCTGCAAGGTCGCGAGAATAAAGAGGAGGAGGAGCTAAAAATGCTGCAAACCTCCGGCTAAGCCAACAACAAATGTCACAACACTTGACCCATAGAGTCAAGGGGAATTTACTAAGGGTCAGACAAACAACAACAAGGAGAGACAGGAAACACTGAACGTACATGAAAACATGTCAACAAACTAAACACAGCTTCCTCCTTCCACGTGTCTGACAATGTTCACTTTCAAATATGGCTGACTTCATTTGAATATACAAACTATCAAAAGGTTTCTGCTTGAAGGACGGATACCATCAGGACCAGAGACGGTACAGATATGGAACATTACTCCTGTATGCTGACGACTCTCTGCTCTATGTCATCAATCACTTCTTCTTCTCTCTAATGAATGTGTGTCAGACAGATATGAACATTACTGCTGTATGCAGACGACTCTCTGCTCTATGTCAACAATCACTTCTTCTTCTTCTCGCTAATGAATGTGTGTCAGACAGATATGGAACATTACTCCTGTATGCTGACAACTCTCTGCTGTATGTCAACAATCACTTCTTCTTCTGCTTCTTCTCTCTAATGAATGTGTGTCAGACAGATATAAACATTACTCCTGTATGCTGACGACTCTGTGCTCTATGTCAACAATGACTTCTTCTTCTGCTTCTTCTCTCTAATGAATGTGTGTCAGACAGATATAAACATTACTCCTGTATGCTGACGACTCTGTGCTCTATGTCAACAATGACTTCTTCTTCTGCTTCTTCTCTCTAATGAATGTGTGTCAGACAGATATAGACATTACTCCTGTATGCTGACGACTCTGTGCTCTATGTCAACAATCACTTATTCTTCTTCTTCTCTCTAATTAATGTGTGTCAGACAGATATGAACATTACTCCTGTCTGCTGACGACTCTCTGCTCTGTCAACAATCACTTCTTCTTCTTCTCTTTAATGAATGTTTATCAGACAGATATGAAACATTACTCCTGTCTGCTGACGACTCTCTGCTCTATGTCAACAATCACTTCTTCTTCTTCTCTCTAATAAATGTGTGTCAGACAGATATGAACATTACTCCTGTCTGCTGACGACTCTCTGCTCTGTCAACAATCACTTCTTCTTCTTCTCTTTAATGAATGTTTATCAGACAGATATGAAACATTACTCCTGTATGCAGACGACTCTCTGCTCTATGTCAACAATCACTTCTTCTTCTTCTCTCTAATGAATGTGTGTTACCTCTTTACTGAGCGTGGTGTTCTGGTAGATTTGTTGAATCTCCTCACTGCTCAGGTCTTTCATGACGTCGGTGCTAACCGAGCTGCTGAACTGCAGCGCCTCGTCGTCATAGCGACGGTAGTACTGAGCGGAGACTTGGTCGCTCTCAAACATGGGGTTAAACTTGGTGGCTCGCTCCAGCGTGGGCACACTGTCACCCCGTCTGAAACAGACACACACTCATGTTGAACACATCATCATCAGACCAGCTCAGGTCTTCATTCTTTAAAACACAAAGTGAATAAATTAATCAGGTGAGTGTGATGCTGACCTCAGCGGATCCTCGCTGTCCTCGCCATCGTACTGCTCTCGCAGCGTCCGGGCCAGGAAGAAGATGATTCCTCCAGCCACCAGCAGGAACCCAACCACCGAGACAATGGCGATGCCGACCACCAGTGGCTCAGAAACGTACTCCTCACAGTGTTCACCACGGTACCACCAGTTCTCCCCAACACGACACCTGAAACAGAAGACACGGGTTGGAGTCCCGGAGTCAGCGCCAACAGGAAGTCAAGCAGTAAGCTCTCAGTCCTGAAGGTGTCTTTGAGCAACTACAGGGTTCTTCTTCCTCCCCAACACACAGTGATCATGAGAAACACTCCTCTATGTACCTTTAAGAACAGAAGGCTCCTCCTACCTGCAGATGGCGCCCTTGCCTGTGATGATGTCACACTTGCCGTCATTGAGGCAGAAGTCGCTCTGCACCTCGCAGACGCTCTGACACGGCAGGCCGTCCACACTTAGGTACCCGGGGTCACAGACACATTCAGCCTCCCCTGACCACTGATTGACCATACACCTGGAAAACTCGTTACACGCCTGGAACTTACACGGGTCGGCCCGATCACCTGAGGTCGGCATGGAAACAGAAGAAGAAGAAGAAGAGGAGACTCAGTTAGGGCGGGGCTAGCTGTGACTGACAAGTGCAACCATGGCAACCTAACAAAGTATTGTTCCATGTTTTGTGTTAAGAAGCTCTAGCTCCGCCCTCTTGTCCATATATGGTCATATCCCTGCTCTGAATGAATCAGCTTTACCAGCTGTTCCTCCTCCTGATCAGCAGGTCAGCTCAGGTGCTCCATCAGGTGATCAGGACGCGAAAAAAAAAGAGAGGGAGAGTCAGCTGATTGTCAGGAGCTCCTCTGATTGGCTCAGAGAGACTAGAGAACTCTGCTCTCATTGGCTCCTGTTCAAATAGATAAAGATATAAAAAGAGTGAAACCGCCTCCAATCAGACGCCATGTTGGCTCAACTCTCTGAGAGTCAGTGAGTGCTGCTGCTCACGTTCCTACCAGACAGATAATCCAGGTATTAGTTCACACACACACACACACACACACACACACACACACACACACACACACACACACACACACACACACACACACACACACACACACACACACACACACACACACACACACACACACACACACACACACACACACAGTCAAATAATCTCTGTTTGCAGATAAAAATATGAACAGGATTAAGCTGTGAGCCTTCACAGGAAGCTTCATCGTCTTCACTTCCTGTTTGGAGTTCGGTTTCACATGAAGTGTTTTTTTAAAGGTCTTCACTGAGACACAGGATGGAGGGTTAGGGTCCTCTCTCCTCCCCAGGGTGAGAGAGAGTGGGGCAAGTGACACGTGGGAGAGTACCTGAACCTGAACCTGGACCGCCCACCTGGAGGACCACAGACTCTGCACATGAGGCGCACACACTAACCACTAAGCCACCAGCTGAGTAAACTGAAAACTTTCCATGCAATGTGCTGTCACGTCTTCAACATGTGTCACACAGATGAGCGCTCGCTGCTGACACGTGTCACATAAACAGCGTCCCCTTAAGACTCTGACTTCCTGTTTCACTGCTCTTTGGCTTCTCTTCCTCTCCTGATGAGTTTAAACGTCCTACCTGACTCCACGTCCAGAGAATACTTGTCGATGGCGAGGTTCATGGTCTGGTAGGCAGTGTTAGCGAAGTCCTCCAGGATGAGGTAGACCACGTTGGTGACCCCGCTGGGGACCGGTTTACCGAACCTCATCCTGCTGTTCACCACGATGCTGCCGTTCCTGAAGTTCAGGATCTCCAGGTTCTGGAAGTTGTTGAGGTTGGACTGAAGGTAGGGGACGAGCTGAGGACAGAGAGGTCGTGTTAAAACACTTTGAATCTTTTTCTTTTTGTTCACTCAGATCGTTTCTCACCAGCTGGAGGAAGCGTTGCTCCAGAGCTTTGTACTCAGACGAGCTCTTGTTGAAAAGGTCCATGGAGAACGCCATGTTGGTCACACGGAGCCTGAAGAACACCATCAGGTCTCTGCCGGCCGGCGGGGTCGGTACTGCTATGGCGTAGCCTTCAGATCCCTGAGTCCCACTGGAGAACCCGCTGCTGTCGCTCTCCGTCGCCCCCCCGACGCCGTACGGGAACACGTCGAAGCTGACATCGATGGCGGGCATGTCGGGATAATCAAAGTCCATCGGGTGGATTCTGGTGTGGTTGACTCTCTGACTGGAAGACGTTTGGAGAATCTCGTTATCTGACTCAGTTTCAGGAGAATCCGTCACCATGGTAACCAGATCATGGTCCCTCACACCTGGTGACTCAGGAGAATCTTCAGAGTCGTTTGCGATCAGCAGAGGGAGGTCTGTGATTAGACGACTGACTGGGACTCTGTCGTTGTCCTCGTGGTTTGGGGGATCTTGGTGAACCAGGTCCTCGTCCTCTGGAGCCGCATCAGACACTCGAGTGAAAGGTGAGTCCTTTTCAGGCGAGTGTTCGATGCCGTGGTCTAAACCGACAGAGGACACGAGGGGCGGAGCAGCAGTCGTCATGGTGACCACAATGACCTCATCCTCCATCAAGTCCTGGTCCTGGATGAGCGTTGGACCTGGAGTCGTCTCAGGATCAGAGACTCCGATGTGCTGCTCATCCAAAACCTCCACCTCGTTGTGGTCCTCAGACTCTGGTCTGTCTGGTGTTTGTTCAGGGACAAGGTCTGGACTAGAGTCAGAAGGAGGATCTGTTTCCTCTTCAGGAACATCTTTCTCCTCTGTAGACTCTCCTGCTAACAGAAGCTCTGCTGGTGCCCCCTCAGTGGGATCTGCATAAACAGGAGTCTCAGGAGTCCAAAATTCAGGTTCAGGATCCTCAGTGACCCCGGGTGTCTCTGGTCCTAAAAGAGAGTAGTCGTCATAGATACCAGACGCCTCCACAGGCTGCACTGATGCCATAGTTCCTTCAGGTGAGAACACCGGGGCTTCAGTGGTTGTAGAGTATCGAGGGGCAGTGCTGATGTGGGGTGTAATCAGAACCTGGTCCAGGTCCGGTTTGGCAAAGCCCTGGTCTGGCACAGACTCCTTTAAAACAGGAAGTGATGTCTGCAGAGGTGGAGTCACGAAATCCTCCTCCTCATTGGTTAGAGGCTCTGACCCAGCAGCCTCCAGGTCCTCAGTCTCCTCCAGGTCCTCGGTCTCCTCCAGGTCCTCGGTCTCCTCCAGGTCCTCGGTCTCCTCCAAGTCCTCGGTCTCCTCCAGGTCCTCGGTCTCCTCCAGGTCCTCGGTCTCCTCCAGGTCCTCAGTCTCCTCCAGGTCCTCGGTCTCCTCCAGGTTGCCATCGCCATCATCCTCAGAGAGTTCAGAGGCCTCTGCAGCACGCCACGACCACACATCATATCCTGGGCCATCTCCAGAGAAACCAGAGCCCGATCCCTGGTCCACGTCAGAGTCTGGTTTAACCAGCAGAGGGGGGGTGGCAGGACTCAGCATGTGGTCCCCGTGGGGGTGTTGGTCCTCTGCAGCGTTGTTGAGGAGGAAGCCTTCATCTTCAACGTTCACAGGATCTGAAAACCAATCAGAAGACAGAGATGAATGCCTGAGAGAGCAGAAGAAGAAGAAGATCCATGACATCATCAGCCAATCACAGACTCACGCTCTGGAGCCGCCGCCTCCGGGTCCACGCTCTGCTCGCCGGCAGTGGGAGGAGCCGCGCTCTCGTCAAACATGAAGACATCATTCTCGCTGACCTCCACGCTTGGAACGCCTTTCCACGGGTCCAAGGGATCAAACAGGAAGTCCTCTTTCTTCAGGAAGACCGGGCTGCTGTCGGGCTCGTGACTCGGAGCGTCAGGAGGGCGCTCTGCAGCAAGGACGTTATCCTGAACGACCAATCACATGTTAGAGACAGTGACGCACGGCGTGAAGGTGAATGAATGAACATGAGATCAAACTCACCATGTTGTTGTGGGCGTGGTCAGTCCGGCTGGTCGGTTTCACATCAGGTAACAAGTTCTCCACTGCAGAGAGAGTCGCCATCACTTACTGCTCTATGACATCATCACTTACTGCTCTATGACATCATCACTTACTGCTCTATGACATCATCACGTACCGTTCTCCTCCTGCGTCCCTAGGCTGCTGTTGCTCATGAAGTTGTCTTTGTGCAGTGCCTCAGTGATGTAGTTCCTGAAGTCGGTGATGGTGTAGACCACGGTGGGCTGCTCGGGGGCCGTGGGATAGTTCTTCTCCACCAGGGTATTCTGCAGAGAGATGAAGTCTAACGTGTCGTTGACGACGCCGCCACCGCTGTCCACCTCCAGAGTCAGAGCATAGTGAACCAGGACCACCAGACCCCTGAAAAGAGGAGTCAGATCAAAACAGCAGCGCACTTTAAAAGGAGGGTAAGGATGCTTTCATCAGAACAGAGAGCATGCTGGATGTGACATCACTTCCTCCCTTACTTCCTGCTTCACCTCAGATCAACTGTTTCCCTCAAACTCTTTAGCAGCTGCTCGGCTCGCTGCACAGTTCAGCTGAGTTAAAGCTCAGGAAGCCAGGTTATCAGTGAGGGGGGAGAAGAGGGGTGAGGGGTTCCTGGAGAGAGAGGCGCGGGGGGGGGGGGGAGAGGTGGGGTGAGGACATTGAGCCTGTTGTAAGCCTCTGACAGTAATCCTGCGGCGGCTGCAGGTGGCCGCAGAGCAGCGAGGGGCTGATCCCACTTAAGAGCTGAAGACGATTGTTAAAGACATTAGAGGGAAACTGGAGCAGCCGGGGGCAGGTGAAAGGGGCTTTAAGGGGGGGGGGGGGGGGGCAGTCTGGTGGAGGTGAGGAAATCCTTCATTTACACTTTACAAGGTACACCTGTGTGTGTGTGTGTGGGTTCTGATATACACACACACACACAGGTAGAGCTAAAGTGACAAACAACAGATGGCAGAGGCAGCAGCAGACAAACAGTTTCACACTCACCTCTCCAGGTCCTTCTGTGGCCTGACAACACAAATCAAAAGAATAATCAGACTTCCCATTGGACAGTTGAGTCACATCAGGAGATCCTCACACAGAAACTCTTGGTCTACCTGAACTCCAGGATTTGGACCTTCTTGAAGCCTGGCAGCCTCTCGAAAGCGTCTTCAACCTGGAGGGGAAAAAGGTTGGATTAGGACTCCTGAGTCTGTTGATGTGTTGTCTTCTGCTTTCAGAGACTCGTCTAAGCCCCATCAACAACATGGGGTCGAGTGGTCCATGTTCAAAGACTTGGTCCAAGATGCTGAAGACTCTGGACATTGTTGGGCTGTCTTGGCTGTCACGCCTCTTTAATGTTGCGTCAGACCGGGCGGTAGTTTCCATTTTTAAAAAGGGGAGGCCGGAGAATCAGGGTACCAGCCTAAGCCTCCTGGGGAAAGTCTACTTTAGGGCGCTGGAGAGGAGGCTACAGGACCAACAGTTCTGATTGTGTGTCCTGGCCGTGGGACAGCAGACCCGCTCTTTACCCTCACAGAACCTCTGTGCAGCTCATCTCTTATGTTGTTCTTATAATAAATAATAAATGTCTCTGTTTATGGACTGTGCAGCTCATCTCTTGTATTTGGAATTAAATAAACTTTTATCTCTGCTGCAGCTCCTCTTTGTTTTTGTGCTATAGCCAAACTCCTGCTGTTTCTATTAGCCTTGTTATCCACTTCATATTCCCTCGTTAAAGCCCCTGACCCCGACTCTTTGACCATAAACTGACTCCCCGCGTCACTAACGGTGGAGCTGAGCCTGAAAAGCTCCCGACGGTTCGGCAACACCGGAGAGCTCGGGTTTCCTGGCATGGTTTGTTTTTCCAGCAGTTCAGTGAGTCACAGCTCTGAGTGTTCAGATCTGATGTGATCCAGGGATGTCAAACTGAGACTTCCAGCGTGAAGAGAGTTAGCGGCTGAAAAACAGGAGAGGCCTTTAAAGCAGAGCCAAGATCCTGAACGATCATGGGAAGAAAGCCCAGCAGAGGCCAGCTGTGACGTCAGAGAGACAAGGAGCCGCTCTGTGAATCATCTGATCCTCCAAAACAACAACATGAACAACATGATCCTCTGGTTACTACATCCTGTGAGTCTCTACTGGACTTTCTTTCGTAGTTAGAGTGAATCAGCTCCGTCAGCCCCCCTGCAGCAAGATCGAGCGCTTTGTAAAAACATTCAAATGGTTAAGATTCAAACTTTTTTTTGGTATTATTTGAGGCATTTTACCTCAGTCTGAATGGTATCCTGTTAGCTTTGTGCATCTTTAAACTTAGCATATGCTAAAGTGTTAGCTCTGTGCATCTCTAAACTTAGCATAGGCTAAAATTTTAGCTCTGTGCATCTTTAAACTTAGCATATGCTAACATGCTAAAGGGAGGTAAAATCGTGATGGTGAGGAATAAATCATCCCAGACTCAGTAAAATGGTGAAAAGCTTTACAATGGGGGTGCAGATGGTCTCAAATGGTCTCAGACTGTCTCACCCTGCGTGTGAAGTGTCTGGCGAGCTGCTGGTACTGGAAGCTGCCTGGGTCTCTCAGGGCGTCGTGGTATGTTTCTCCTCTCAGCTTGATACTCAGGTCCACCACGTGGTCCTTCAGAAGTCGAGGGGGCCACAGCATGGTGTTGTCGATCTCGTTTCCAATCTGAAGGGACAAACAGGTCTACGTTAGGTTCTGGAAGGTCTATGTTAGGTTCTGATAGGTCTACTTTAGGTTCTGACAGGTCTACTTTAGGTTCTGGTAGGTCTACTTTAGGTCCTGATAGGTCTACATTAGGCTCTGATAGGTCTACATTAGGTTCTGATAGGTCTACATTAGGCTCTGATAGGTCTACATTAGGTCCTGATAGGTCTACTTTAGGTTCTGATAGGTCTACTTTAGGTTCTGATAGGTCTACATTAGGTTCTGACAGGTCTACATTAGGTTCTGGTAAGTCTACTTTAGGTTCTGATAGGTCTACTTTAGGTTCTGGTAGGGCTACATCAGGTTCTGGTAGGTCTACTTTAGGTTCTGGTAGGTCTACATTAGGTTCTGGTAGGTCTACTTTAGGTTCTGGTAAGTCTACCTTAGGTCCTGATAGGTCTTTATTAGGCTCTGATAGATCTACATTAGGTTCTGGTAGGTCTACTTTAGGTTCTGGTTAGTCTACTTTAGGTTCTGGTAGGTCTACATTAGGACTGGTTTCTATGACTGGTTTTGCTTACAGAGCTGGCTGTCTCTTGCTCCAGTCTAAAGCCGTTGTTTCCCAGTAAGTCTTGGTCCACCTCGTCGGTCAGCTCAGGGATGTTGCTGGCATCGTCCTCCACGATGTTCCTGGTGGTCAGCTCCTCAGAGACCCCGGGGGTGGGCTCTTCTGGTAGGGCATCCGAAGTGACTTCATGAAGAGATGCGTCGTCTGTAGGAGCCTCGGTCAGGATCTCGTTATCGTCATCAGAAGGGATGCTCTCTGAGACAACATGGACACTTTGCACTCCACCTTCATCAGGTGTGACCTCCTGGACAAGTTCAGCTCCTCCCACATCGGTCTCTGGATCAACACGAGTCCTGTCTTCACTTGGAGCCTGGGAGAACCATTCAGCTTCCTGTGTTGGCTCCTCCTCGCTGCTCTCTGGTGGTAGTACTTCCTCTGAGGGTTCTGGATGTTCCAGCTTTACCTGTGGTTCAGGTGTTTCCTCCTCCTCAGTCTCAGGAAGTAATCCCTCTGAGTCCTCGGGAACCACTATGACGACTGGGGTGAGGTCTTCATCATACTCTGGATGAGTCTCTGGGATGAAAACTTTGGCTGCATCTGGTTTGAAAATTTCTACTTCCTGGGACTTCTCCTCAGATGGTACGGCAGGATCTGCTTTCTCCTCATTGGTCAAAACTTCCGGTTCATCTGTGTTTTCTGTCTCTGTTGGAGGTTCTCTCACATGTTCTGTTTCAGGTTCTGGTTCTTTCGGCTCCACAGTCTCTACAGTCTCTCCTTCAGACTCTGGTTCTGTAACCACCTCCTCTGCAGGTTCAGTAACATCCATTCCCTCTTCTTCTTCAGGTTCTCCTGGTGTCTCAGCTGGTTCTACTCCTTCATTGGGGTCTCCTGGAGTCTCAGCTGGTTCTAGTCCTTCAGTGGATTCTCCTGTTGTCTCAGCATGTTCTACTCGTTCAGTGGGGTCTCCTGGAGTCTCAGCTGGTTCTACTCCTTCAGTGGGTTCTCCTGTTGTCTCAGCTGGTTCTAGTCCTTCAGTGGGTTCTCCTGGTGTCTCAGCTGGTTCTCCTCCTTCAGTGGGTTCTCCTGGTGTCTCAGCTGGTTCTACTCCTTCAGTGGGTTCTCCTGGAGTTTCAGCTGGTTCTACTCCTTCAGTGGGGTCTCCTGGAGTCTCAGCTGGTTCTACTCCTTCAGTGGGTTCTCCTGTTGTCTCAGCAGGTTCTACTCCTTCAGTGGGTTCTCCTGGAGTCTCAGCTGGTTCTACTCCTTCAGTGGGTTCTCCTGTTGTCTCAGCTGGTTCTACTCCTTCAGTGGGTTCTCCTGGAGTCTCAGCAGGTTCTACTCCTTCAGTGGGTTCTCCTGGTGTCTCAGCTGGTTCTCCTACCTCTGCTGGTTCTCCTGGTGTCTCAGCTGGTTCTCCTACCTCTGCTGGTTCTCCTGGTGTCTCAGCTGGTTCTACTCCTTCAGTGGGTTCTCCTGGAGCCTGCGTGTTGTCAGCTGGTGTTAGCGGTCCTTCATACGTGATTACTGTTTCTTGAAGAGGTTCTTCTTGTTCTTCCATGTCCTCCTCTGCCGTCTCATCAATGACATTCTCATCCAGCTGGTCCACATCAGTCACTGTCGTCTCTTCAGCAGCTTCAGAAACATCTGATTGGTCTTCCTGTTTCCCAGAGGTCTGACCATCTTCAGCTCGCTCCTCGGTCCACAGCTTGGTCACGCCTTCAGCTGGAGCTTCAGCAGCAGGTTTGGGAGACACCGGCTGACCTGACACTGCAGCTGTGACCGACTCAGAATCAGGGAATCTGGTGGGTTTAAGAAGAACCACCACAGCAGCTTGAGTGACAACTTCTTTCACAGCGACCTCTGATGGAGGCTCCTCCCCTTCAGGAGTTGCTTCCTTGATCCCATCAGGACTCAGAACACCCACATCTTCAGGGACAATCCCTTTGTACACTGAAACCTTGTTGTCTGATGTTTCTGGAACTCTTATGTCTCCGTCCTCTTCCTCCATGACCCCGACAGAGCCGACGGCGGCCGCAGGAACAGCGGTCAGATCCACAGGTTCATCAGGAGACAATGTTATTGGTCCTTCAGATGGAGAGAAGGGCGGAGTCCAAGCTGTCAGGCCAAAGCCTGGAGGAAGGTCCAAGATCTCTTCTTCCCCTTAAAAGAAAGACAAAGACAAATTCACTTCAAGAGACAGGAAGTAGCTCGAAGGAGGCGTGTGATGCAGCGTGAAGGGTCACGCAGGTTGCCATGTGGTGGACACTGAAGCTTCAGTGTTTAGCCAGCTCTGCATGGGTCTGTAAACCTTTCTGCCTTCTAACCTCTCCAGTATTGATCCTAGTTTGAGCGCCAGGTGTGTTTACCTGCTTCACTTAGAGCTCCTCCTCTCGTGTCTTCAGTTTGTGTTTCAGAGCTGCAGGACAGAAAACACAGTTTCCACATCATGACATCATACAGGTGTGCACATGTGATGATCAGAAACACCTGCTCAGGTGTACAAAGCTTCTTTTAAAGGGGAACATCAGTAAATAGACATCTGATGTTCCCCTTTACAATGCAGCTGCAGACAAACCACAGCACCGTGAGAAGCAAGCAAACCAACAAACAAACAAACAAACAAGCAAACCAACAAACAAACAACAAACAAACAAGCCAGTGGTAAACACAAACACTGACGGTACACCTCCTCTTCTAACTGGTGAAATGAAATCTAAATGTCTTTGTGTGTGGATGTGTTTGTGCTCTGACTCCAGGTCAGCTGCTCAGGTGAGTTACCTGCATGGAGGCGGGCCTGAGGTGATGGGCACACTGCAGCAGGTGATAGAACACAGCACAGGGGGCGTGGTTACACATTGAACACAGTAGAGTTAATACTGAACGAGGTTGTTCAGGTATGAACAGGTAGAGTGATCATGTGATTATGTGACCGTGTGATAATGTGACCGTGTGATCATGAGACAATGTGATAATGGGATCATGTGACCCTATGATAATGTGATCATGTGACCGTGTGATAATGTGACCGTATGATCATTTGATCAGGTGATAATGTGATCATGTGACCCTATGATAATGTGATCATGTGACCGTGTGATAATGTGACCGTGTGATCATGAGACAATGTGATAATGGGATCATGTGACTGTAACAGAGTTTCCACTGACCTGCTCATCTCGGCCACCTTCCCCACTCTCTGAAACACACAAACGCAAAAACATGAGCACATCACACACACGCTCGCACGCACGCACGCACCCACACACGCACACACACACGCACACACACACACACACACACACACACACACAGAAAGGTCACACAGGTGTACTCACACTCCTGATGAGGTCAGCGTGCTCCTCTGATTGGCTGAAGAAGCTCCCGATGTCCATGACGCTTATTGATCCGTCCATACAGCGACTCACCCAATCCTGATACTCATCACGCTCGGGGAGGCGGTCCCAAAAGATCTTATAGGCCTCCCACACGGTCTCCTGACACACTGAAACACACACACACAGGTAACTGACACACTTAAACACACACACAGGAGAGACAGGACTCCGTCAGAACAAGGCGCCTCGTGCTGGCCCTTTAAGAAGGTGGTGTTAGTGCAGCTCTGACCTCCTGACAGCACGCTGACTGTAAGCTGGTTAGTCCATTTGGATCAAACACCTCCAGTGTTACTGAGACAACCAGGAAGCAGAGAGGAAGTGAAAGAAGCACACGTACCTCTCAGGTGGAAATAGTTGAGGTGGTTGGCGACCGCCTGGTCCACGGTCTCCTGAGTGCACATCTTGACTCCGCTGGGAAACAGAACGTCTCGTTTCCTACGAGATAACGCCGTGTGGCGTCGGTAAAGAAGCTGATCGGAGTCTGACAAAAGTTTAGACCGCTCCTCCAAATCCACCGTCCAATCACCAGAGGCGTCTGGAGAAAACCAAAGATCAGAGACAATCACAAACGCACAACAATAACAATCACATACGCACAACAATCACAATCACATACGCACAACAATCACATATGCACAACAATCACAATCACACACGCACAACAATCACAATCACATACGCACAACAATCACAATCACATACGCACAATAATCACAATCACATACGCACAACAATCACAATCACATACGCACAATAATCACAATCACATACGCACAACAATCACAATCACATACGCACAATAATCACAATCACATATGCACAACAATCGCAATCACATACGCACAACAAGCACAGACGCGCAACAATCACATACGCACAATAATCACAATCACATACGCACAACAATCACAGACGCACAACAATCACATACGCACAACAATCGCAATCACATACGCACAACAAGCACAGACGCGCAACAATCACATACGCACAATAATCACAATCACATACGCACAACAATCACAGACGCACAACAATCACATACGCACAACAATCGCAATCACATACGCACAACAAGCACAGACGCGCAACAATCACATACGCACAATAATCACAATCACATACGCACAACAATCACAGATGCACAACAATCACATACGCACAGCAATCAGACGCACAACAATCACAGAATGCTGCAGTACTTTTACTGTGACACTTGAATGCATCACAGCGAAAATGCTGCAGTACTTTTACTGTGACACTTGAATGCATCACAGAGAGAATGCTGCAGTACTTTTACTGTGACACTTGAATGCATCACAGAGAGAATGCTGCAGTACTTTTACTGTGACACTTGAATGCATCACAGAGAGAATGCTGCAGTACTTTTACTGTGACACTTGAATGCATCACAGAGAGAATGCTGCAGTACTTTTACTGTGACACTTGAATGCATCACAGAGAGAATGCTGCAGTACTTTTACTGTGACACTTGAATGCATCACAGAGAGAATGCTGCAGTACTTTTACTTTGGTAATTGAACTACAGGAAGTTGTTTAATTTGACTTTCCTGCATTAATCTTTTTGACTCAGATCTTTGCAGCTGAATGACTCGTGGCTCTGAGTTCAACACGATAATGATTTGATTAATTGATTAATGAGTCATAATGACAGCGTCACACTCGTACCTGAGTCTGTGTAGATGTACGGTGACAGCAGCAGGGCCCCGAACGCCCACAGCACCATCCTCCCTCTCTCTCCAAACATTTCCTTGAAGATCTGTTGGTCCAGCAGCCGGACTCACTCAGTTTGACGTTCCTCGTCTTCAGCTCATCTGGCACGCCGTCTCACAGCCGTCCATCCAGCGCTCCACCTGCCATCACTTTTCAAACGGGTTAAGGGTTAGGGTTAGATTCCTGTTCCAGGAGGGTGGACAATGGTCTTGACGAGGGGGCGCCGTGCTGCTCCTCGCTCCCTCTCAGGTGAGCAGATGGGACTTTGGAGCTGTGGAGATTTTTTCTCTTTGCTTTAATCCTATTTGTTAAGCTGCTGGAGGATGCCTGTCGAGCCGCGGCACAGGCTGCAGCGGGTCGCTGTCACAGAGGGAATCGAACACTCTGAAATAAAACACACTCAAAGAAACCTGAGAGAAACTTCACGGATGAACTTTTGATTAAATATCAATCGAGACCCGGTTTGAGTCCCACCTGTTTCTACCTGTGCTCTACTGCAGATACACAAGGGTTAATATCCCATGATTCACCAGGGCAAGTGACGCTACTGGAGTCTGATCCAAAAACCTGTCAGACTGATCAGCGACCTGCAGCTTTGATTTCACATCCAATCAAACATGGAGGTGACCAAAGTCAGTGTTCAGAGATAAGAACCAATCAGAAATATCGTTTCACTTCCTGTTATTCACAACGAGTGCAAACTGCCTGAAATGTGCAAATATGTTGGAGACATTAGGAGAAAAGGGAGGAGCCAGAAATCAACCAGCCAATCAGTGGAGGTGATCCTGAGTGCATCATTTGATTGATGAGTATCAGAGTCAGAGTCGCTCATGATGGTCCAGGTGGTCCACACTGAGACTGGATTACCTGAGACACTCTGAGAGGTCACATGATGCTTTAAGAGGTCAAAGGTCACAGTGAAGCTGCCTTAAACTGGACTCCAGTGTTCCTTCACTCACACGTTTAATAAACACGGGACACTTCAAACACATCCAGGTGTGAATACAAACATGAGCACATCTATAAAGACAAATATCTCTAATCATCTGTTTCTAATCAAGAAACTCAAGTTCTCTTTGAAGAGACTCGTCCAGACCGACCCCCCACCCCCAATAGCCGACATCTTTTATTGGATAAGCAGATTTAACAGGAACAAGGAGAGGAAGCAAGGAGAGAAAAAGATGTGCCTTGTCTGAACCTTCATGTTTCACAGTTTGAGGTCTGACGTCCTGCAGAGAATCCGGATCACTGCTTCAGATTATTCTGACAATCCGGATGGAGGACTCACAGAGTCCTAAATCAGTCTAATCCAAGCCTCCGATACGTCAGATTATCCCTCTGTGAGAGCACTCAGAGTACAACAAGATCAGGACCAGAACAGGACCAGTACAGGACCAGTACAGGACCAGAACAGAGTCAGTACAGGACCAGAACAGGACCAGAACAGAGTCAGTACAGGACCAGTACAGGACCAGAACAGGGTTAGTACAGGACCAGTACAGGACCAGAACAGAGTCAGTACAGGACCAGAACAGGACCAGTACAGGACCAGTACAGGACCAGAACAGAGTCAGTACAGGACCAGAACAGAGTCAGTACAGGACCAGAACAGGACCAGTACAGGACCAGTACAGGACCAGAACAGAACCAGTACAGGACCAGAACAGGACCAGAACAGAGTCAGTACAGGACCAGAACAGACCAGAACAGGGTTAGTACAGGACCAGAACAGAGTCAGTACAGGACCAGAACAGGACCAGTACAGGACCAGTACAGGACCAGAACAGAGTCAGTACAGGACCAGAACAGAGTCAGTACAGGACCAGAACAGGACAGTACAGGACCAGAACAGAGTCAGTACAGGACCAGAACAGGACCAGAACAGGGTTAGTACAGGACCAGTACAGGACCAGAACAGAGTCAGTACAGGACCAGAACAGGTTAGTACAGGACCAGTACAGGACCAGAACAGAGTCAGTACAGGACCAGAACAGGACCAGAACAGGGTTAGTACAGGACCAGAACAGAGTCAGTACAGGACCAGAACAGGACCAGAACAGAGTCAGTACAGGACCAGAACAGGACCAGAACAGGGTTAGTACAGGACCAGAACAGAGTCAGTACAGGACCAGAACAGGACCAGAACAGAGTCAGTACAGGACCAGAACAGGACCAGAACAGGGTTAGTACAGGACCAGTACAGGACCAGAACAGAGTCAGTACAGGACCAGAACAGGGTTAGTACAGGACCAGTACAGACCAGAACAGAGTCAGTACAGGACCAGAACAGGACCAGAACAGGGTTAGTACAGGACCAGAACAGAGTCAGTACAGGACCAGAACAGGACCAGAACAGGGTTAGTACAGGACCAGTACAGGACCAGAACAGGACCAGAACAGGGTTAGTACAGAGTCAGTACAGAACCAGAACAGGGTTAGTACAGGACCAGTACAGGACCAGAACAGAGTCAGTACAGGACCAGAACAGAGTCAGTACAGGACCAGAACAGGAC